GGGGGGGGGGGGGGGGGGGTTGGTCGCTACCCGCGGATCGAATCTCTGGTCGTGGAGGCTTGGAAGCCAAGCTCAGAAGGAGGGGGGTGTAGGTGGCCCTTTAAAGGCTGCGGAGGGGATGAAGTTCTCGGGCCGACCCGAATTTTCCACTTCGATGCGACATCCGAAGACCAAGCCCATGAAACATTGCATTTACAAGACTTACATTTTCTTTCCGCAGATGTCGTTGTAGCCTTCCCGCGTGGAACAACATCGAAAAACCTTGTATGATAAGATCGGTCGTGTAACTGGTGTTTGGTTTATCTATGGTATGGGAGAGACACTGCATTGAAGGCGGAGAAGTTTTCTCCCAACCCGCGAGCTGGTTGGAGCTGTGTGCCATCGCTTCGCAACGAGCTCTGCAGGACATAAACAGCCAAAGCTTTGCAGTCCTTGCCGTGATGCCATGCAGGATCGAGATTCGCGCACCACGCAACAGGCTTTGGGGGCTTCTTGGATGCATGACTTGGCCAATGCTATTATATGTGGCTTCCATTGATTGGCATCACGACGAAAAGACGAATGCCAGAATCTGCTCCATCATCTTACCTACACTTCACTTGCTTGCCTGCAGGCTATGGGCAACTTTGCCGTTCTTCGAGCTGCGAAGGAGACAGACATGAGAAGTGTGCTCGGGTAGCCTCCGGTGCGCGGAGTCATGAGGCTGTTTAAGATTTGCTTGACACCCCGTATTGTTCGTGCCCCTTTCACTACCGCCTTGGGCTCTCTGTCGGCAGCAGGTGCGGCTGTGAACCCTTACAGGTTTTGGGAGCATGCTTGGCATCCATTCCTAGTTGCAGAGGGCTTCTGCTGCGACTGTTGACCTGGCTGCTAGGGTTCTATAGCTTCATGCCTTGCGGGCAGGAGGCTCTGCCGATGGACGCTGCTGGAGGCTGCAAGCTGATTTATGCCGTTCAGTGTGATGCAATTCGTCGCTGCCAGAGACTTGCTATGTAGTCAGCGAGCACGTTGCGCACATCCTGGGGTGTCTGCAGCTGCTATGACTTTGAACGCATCTCCAGGTGGCGGGGACTACGGCCCGACAGCGACGATGCGGCTGGCTGCGGGCACTACTGATTTGCTTGACCAATCCGACGAGGAGGCCGATCGTTTTATTTGCGACGCCCTGTCCTGACCAACTGGTTGCGAGGCTGTTACGAGACTTACCGGAGAATTGTCAGGCAGAGCTCCCCTCGCCTGAGGCAACGAAGCCACCGAGTGACTCAGAGGACGGCTCAGTTCGCCCTCGCCCTTCTCCTTGCCGTAAGAGTGACAGGAGCTAGAGTCCGAGCAAAGCTCCCTGGCAAGCGGCTTTCCTCGGCAAGATGCGGCCGGCAAGTCTCTTCCGCGTGCCTCGGTTCAGTTTTCCTTTTGGTATCCTCCGTGGGAAAACCGCGGCTTATTGCTATTATTATTATTATTACTCTTACTATTACTATCTCTATTATTATTACTCTTATTACTCTTATTACATGTTATAATATTATCTATATATAATTGTATAATTTCTAATTTAGTTCTCTCTCCGAGGCTCCGGCTCCGGCTCGGACCTGCCAAGTGTCCCAACGGACGACCAGGAGCTGGACCTGTCGCTGCCTGCCTCGAAGTGTAAGCCCCCTTTAAAGGGGGTTTACATGGCTTTAGGGTTTTAGGGTTTTTAGGGTTTTTAGGGTTTAGGGTTTTAGGGTTTTAGGGTTTTAGGGTTTAGGGTAAGGGGGTTCACATGAGAGATGTGGAGAGGCTGCAACTGCAAGCTGACTAAGGCTGGGAAAGGCACACGAAAAGGCGCGACCGATGCACACTCCAGCAGGAATCTGACAGAGAGCCAGATGATCTAAGCGTTCGAAGCCAGCCTGGGGCGTGCCCTGCCTTTGTCTGTGGTGCCAGGTTCCGCCGGCAATGATTCAGAATATGCTTGACTTGCTTCAGGCTGGCAGAGCTTCATGTCATGACCGCTTTCGGCCTCGACTTTGCAGTGGAAGTTTTCTGCAGGGCAAAGTTGACAGCCCAATTGTGTGCAGTAGAGTACTACACCGTTCGTCCAGGTGCGGAGGCGCTCGTCCGCCCACGCAGGAGTCGAAGCTTGGATGGACTACTCTTCGATACCGCTTTTTCCAAATTGTCGCGCACGACGCATGACCAGGTCCACGTACTGCCCCGAGGTTGAAGGCGCCGTCTCGGCGCCATCTGTGTCCATCGCAACAAGCACTGCCGCCACGTTGGCGAACTTTGCCCAGGAGTGGCACAGCGACTGTAAATTGTAGGTTGCAATATCACCAAGAAAGGGGAACCTCGGAATAGTTCCACATGGCTGAAGGACACTGACATCGAGCGTCTGATCGGTTCAATGGGCGGCATTGCTGCTGGATTGAAAACAGGGCGCCGGCTCCCTCCTCATGAGTTGTTGCAGTGGTGAACGCTTTTGTGTGCCTATGGCCTCCATGGTCGGCCCTTGATTCCATTCCCCAGTTGTCAACTTCCAAGCGGACATTACAACATTCTTCAAGCATCTTCAAGCCCGAGTGGCTGAGGAGATCGTGCTGGAGTCCGTCGGCACAGTTGATGCAGAGGCTGACCGACTGCCAACAAATCTGTCTCTGTCTCTGTGCATGGTGCATGGTGGTGAAATACTTAGCCCTGTGGCCAAGATGTGACTTTGAAGCTCTGTGTGCAACATGGCATGATCTATTGTTCTGACGGGCAAACATCGGATCGCAGATACACCAAGTACAGCCGAGCCAGAGCTTCTGCAGGAGTTCCATCTTCAAGCAGTGAGGTTTCTCTGGAACATGCAAGCTGGCTGCAGCGCTTCATGCACCTTCATTGGCGTGAGCCGCATGATTCATGACCTCGTAGTAGTTAAGGACTTTCTCCAAAATTAACCAGCAGCGGTGGGGGGCCTTAGCATATCCCGCTGTATTCCCGGAACACCCGGTGGTGGAGACACCAGTGTTCAAGGATTCTGTTGGCCGTTGCTTTCGTCTTCCAAGGTCGGCGTAAGTAGTTCTGACGCTGTGTCGGGCTTCAGTGTAGGGCTTCCGAGTGTGGAGGTCTAGTTTGCTGAGATGGTTTACATATCGGGTGAAGCCCTCCTTGCTCGACAACTGCGCTGCCTCCACGAATTGGCCGGCTTCTGCCTGACGAAAGTTGTCCCGTTCCAGCAATCTCGCAGGGACCGCGCTGGCCAAGGTTTATGGACAACGAAGGGGTCGAGAAGGTCCTGGTCATGCGCTGAGGAAGGGGAACGCCGGGGCTATGAAGAAGGACACAGAAGGATAGACCATGATGTCGAAGCGAGTCTGATGACCATTGATTAATGGCTCCTTTCAGGCTATTCTTGGACGCCACTGCCAGCCGCAACATGCACAGCTACAGGAGCAGGGCTGCGGCGCTACCTGGCATCAGTCTGACTGGGGCTTCTCGCAGTTGGGCTTTTCGTCTTTCAGATTGAGTCCGGCACACTGCGCAGCAGATTCTGTCATTCTGCATGCTGCCTCAGGTGCTTCGCAATCTGGCATATGGCCATACCGGAAGACACAAACTCAAGCTTCTGCAGTCTGGGGTCATCCAGTGCTTGTGCGAGGCGCCTGATTGTCTCGGTAAAATTCCCAGTGTAACCAGCTGCTTGTGGCCCAACCGGTTGTTCGGATGTCGACTTCCGTGAAACGCACGCAGCACGCATGACATCGCCGTTGTTCTGGTCAACGTAGTGGTGTAGGAGTAGTTATGGCGCTCACCAGCTGAGAAGCTTGGCTTTCCTTCCTGCCAGGCGCTTGAAAGATTCTACAGGGACGTCCAAGTTTGCCTGCAGGCAGTCGCAGGGCTGACTGCAATGTGCCCCCTGGCACAGATGTACAAATTAATTGCTTTCAAGTTATACTTTTGTGTGCATGCCAGTATGTGCCCCATGCTATAAAGCTATCATCATCTTATGGCAAAGCTTTTGCCAAGGCGACCGTGCTCCGCCAGCTGCTTTGCAAGCAAGCCAGAACGGGGCGATCACCTGGCTCGTGCTGCTTCGGCTGCAAAGTAGCCTAATCACTGTGCTCCATGGAACCGGAAAGGAGTTCCTCGTGGGCCGTGCGTCGTGATGTTGTTGCACTTGCGCAGGAGAGCCTTAAAGCTCACCGGGGACAAAATTGACATCACGCAGCAGATTCTACAGGCCTGCGAGTTCGTCCCTATAGATTCGGTCCTGCCCAGCGATGTCCAGGCCATCAGTCGTAAACTCGATGTTCAAGCAATTGACCTACAGTCGTCCTGCAGGCCCTGGCAAGCATCCTCATCATTCCGGAGGCTTGACTCTCCCCCAGCCTCCCCCGTGCATGCCGGAGCTGGAAGGCAAAAAATCTCGCAAGTTGCACTGTGACAGGCCTTAACACCGTTTGGTCTTCGCGGCGGGCATTTGGAGGCTTCGGTGTTCATCTTTCCAGATCTCGCCAGCAGTCTGGTCCGGCGAGTTGCGTGCAGGTGCTCAAAGTGGTTGACCGGCTTCCGTCCGTCTGCGCCTGAGCATGCAAAGCAATCCAGCAAGGCTTGCAAACCAAGCGGCAGAGGCCTAAAGCTTACAAGTTGTACTGTAGAAGCTGGGAGCGCTACAGCGGCTGCTTTGGGACCAAATGCCAGGATGGAACTTTGCTGCTGGCATTCCGGACCTTGGCGGCGGCACTCAGCCACACAATGCTGAAGGACTTGCATGCTAAAAGATGCTTCTTGGAAGCTGTGGGAAGAGCACAAGACGCGGCAGCCCAGGTGGCCGCGCTTTCTAAATTGATTGCTGGTCTTATGGATGACATACCTCAGTGTGGCCTAGCAGTGCCCGTGCAAACATGGAAGCTGTGCTGGCCGCATGAACGAACGGCGAACTGCGCATTTGGCGATGCTCCCCTTGAAGCTGCGCTCAGTGCAGGATCTGAAGGACCAGAACTTGGCCGCCATAATGGCGCAAGAGCTCGAGGAGCGGAAATGGCCAAGGCTTTCCTTCGGATCCCCGTGGCTCCATGTGGGGCAATGAGGCAATGAGTTTGCATCCGTGTGAGGAGCAGGAGGACGACGATAATCCGATGAGCCTCTCGGCGCAGTCTTACCCGTGTGAAGCGTGTCGATACCCGTCCCACGCGGGAAGTGCTGATGACATTTTGCCTAGATAACGGTGCAGATGTCGGGAAGGATTGGAGAAAGTGAAGCCCGGATTGATTGACGAACTCGCATGTTGCCGAGGTGCCGCTGAGAAGGAGAACTTGATCTCACAATGGCAGTTGATGAGCGATGCTCCGGGCTCGCAGTGGCTCGGCAAGACTCATCAGCAGCGAGCAGGGGCATCGCAATGAAGGTGCTCTGCTTTTGTGCGCTGTTTCCGGGTCGGAGTGGCAACCCGACGCCGACTGACCTGAGGATACGCATTGATCTGATGGATGCGCAGATCATTCGTAAAGTCGTCAATGTGCTCTGACACCGAAAATGAGCTACAGCAAGATATGACAAATCAGAATGCGGCCTTTGCCTACTCTTTAGGCGCCAGCTTTGCTACTTTTTTGGACTTGCGGGCTGTGGATTCTGCGTCTGCTGTTGCTTCTCTGACATGGCTCTACAAGGCTTTGAGAAAATTCCACGAGTATTCGACCGCAATAGAGGCAGGTGCTCAGTGCTGGTAGCATGCCCCTCCTACGTGTCTTCTTCGGCCCGCGAATGAGGCCGCTGCAGGAGTTCTGCTGAACCTGGCTTTGGAAGTCCATGAGAAGCTCGAGAAGGAGACTTCAAAAGCGGGGTGACAGGTTGGCCTTTGCAGTTGCCGGCTTCTGTGCAGTCGACCACGAAAAAACCAGGATGAATATCACTTGAATCGAAAGCTGGAAGTGGGGATGACTCATGCCTGCATTGGCGTAGTCGCGGCTGGTGGGCCGAAGGGCTGCTGACTGACATTTAGTTTTTGGGAGTCGGAGGCACAAGTTTCACCCTACAGCCCAGGGAATGCCACAAGTGCCTCACGATTATTGGCCATTTGGCCGCTGAGAGGTCCGAGAGCAATGCAGGCCGCCAGAATACGGTCAAACTCTGACCGAGCTCAGTCTGAATCGTGACCTGCTTCACAGGCTTTGCGGCGAACATGTTCTATCTGCTGGCTGCTGTGTCGCTCAATGAGGAAGTGTCGCTTTTGCTCTACAGGGAGCAGGCTCAACCGGCTCAACCTGTTGTGCACAACCACAATGGCCTTCAACAAAAGTTGTGTAGAGTGTAGACTTACAACCAGCATGCACAAATGTCGCATCCTGGTTTGGTTGTGCTCTGCAGGCTGCAGCCAGGTCTCTGCAGTACATGAAGGCCGGAGCACTTTCGGCAATCGCTCTGCAGTACATTGCACTGCAGCTGATTGGATGACAATGAGCTCTTGGAAATTGCGAGTCGGAGCTCCGCCTGTCCTTCGCAGGCATACAAAAACCAGCCGCGCGTTCAGGCAGCAGGTCCGTGGAGTTGCCTTGACTTAGACCACACCTACACATTTCCTTCCTGGAGGGAGAGCCTGCGCGTAAGTTTTCCTGCTGAAGAGGCAACTTGAAAGCTTGAGACTGCAAGATTTCCGGTGCCCACGGCTTGGTGCCAAGCCACCGTTGTGTGTGCAGGCGCAGCTTTTCTTAGCAATTTGGCCAAGACGAAGCTTCGCATCCGCGAGGCCATTTTAGGGCTTAGTCTGCAGCACTCTACTTCGCATGGTGCTTGGTTCTTATTCATGAAATGCACAATCGGTGGCCCACCTGACTTGCCTTCTGATCCCTCTGCGCACAGCATCTTGCAGCAGTTTAGTTTTTGACAAATGCTTTGGGAGACAGACATGGTCCATCCTAGCCCGTGCAACGACCTCGAAGTCACCGGATTTGCTCTCCGAGATGCGTGTATCTGTCACACGGCAAATCCAAGAGTTACGCAAGCCAGTTTTGTGTAGGAACGCAAAGTGCCGGGCGGCGCGGGCGCGTGTGTATCAGTGCGCCCGGACATACATAATCATCATGTGTTCAAACACATCATGGCAGGCGGGGTGCAGACGACATCCTTTTGCCATTCACAAGGTCTCCAGCATAATGATGGCAGGCAGTGGTGGAGGTTGGCTGCATCGAGTACCTTCTATCGCTCCTTTCCGCATGCAAGGACTCTAAAGCCCTGCAGCGCAGAGCACCTCGAACCGCTAGCTGACCGCCGTGTTCTTGCCCGTGTCGGAGTGCATCTTTTGTCTTCGGTATTCTGGGGTCGCTGTGATTGTTGTAGATGAAGATTTACTTGCGTTCTCCCGTGGCGCTTCTTGCAGCCTCCGTTGTGTTCCTCGTCGAGAGCTGTGGAGAGTCATGGGGAGGGGCGAGTCCGGAGGTAGAATTGTAGTATCGTCATGTGGAGCTCAGTTGGAGCCCAGAAGTCGCAAACGAGCTGAGATAAGGGCCATCAAGGTATGGTTGCGGTTCAGTTTGTCACTTCTCGCTGGGATGCATGGCACCATGCCGTGAGGTGACAAGTCGTACGGCAGTTCTGAAAAGTCTTCCACAAAAACGAAGTGTGGGGCAAGGTGTGCAACATCGTGCCAAATTTGCATCATTACATTACATGGTCGAGTGCGAGGACGATGCAACGGTGGTCTCCGCCACTGCAAGAGCAGCTTGGATTGAAATGCGTTCGCTTCATAGACCCTGAGACTGTCTTTGTTGAGGTGCTGAAGGATCTCCTGCCTGCCCAGGCCGGCTGCACATCAGCTTCGCAACTCCTTGTACCTAAACCTAAGCATGGTGCAGCACAGGCGGCCTACGAGATAGTCAGAAAGCATGACATCATCAATCTGATATTCGAGGCCTGGGATCATGCCACGCTTCCAGCTTCCATAGGTAGAATGTCTGTGGCTTGAGCCTTCGGCCAGGCAGTGGACCAGCACGTGGACAATGCGAGACTTGGCTGGCCAGCGAGAGCAAGTGTGCGTGTGAGAGAGGGGGAAGAGAGAGAGAGAGAGAGGCCCGGGGACGCTGACCCGTCCCTATGCCCTGGAGAGAGAGAGAGAGAGAGAGAGAGATACCCCAAAAATATTCACTTTCGTATTCCACCAAAATAGCTACTAAAATATCCGAAACTCGAACATACCTTTCACTCCCCTCGAAAGCCTCACAATATGTGGGGGGCCAATAGGCCGGGGGGCCTGACCCGTCCCCTATGCCCTGGGGAAAGAAGAAGAAGAAGAGAGGGGGGGGAGCGCAGCTTTCTCAGAGCCGTAGGGGCACCAGCTGGCCAAACAACTTAGTGTTTCCTTCGGTTTGTCACTGTTTGAGAGCAGATTTGTCGTGGCTACTCGCAGGCTTGCTGGGCACCCCCCCAAAAGTAGAGGTGAAGGGTTGAGTGGAAGGTCGAGGCAGTGCTTGCGGGGCTGAGGCTTCAGTTCGGGTTACAGGCAGGGTCAAGCAGGTAAGGCTGGTTTCTGAGTGGGGGACCCGCAACAACAACCGTGGGGCACTAACTGTTCGGTGTTTCGTGTGTTGTTCGTAAGCTGTGCTTCAACCTGCCCCCACGGTGGCGTGCGTCCCATTCGTGTTTTCACTCCAACGTACCACGTACAGACACCCCAACCAACAACATGTTGGAGGGGGTGCGCCTGGAGCGCGGGGTGTGGGGCCTGCCCACACCTCAACCCCCAAGCAAAGCAAAGCAAAGGGGGGAGCGGCTCGCGGAGTACATCGATGGCATGAACATACCGGAGGGCGAACGCACACACGGGGGGCAAGGGGACGAACACCCAGGACTCCAAGGGCGGTTTCAACACCATGAGCCCAATGCCAGAGGAGGGGGAAGGGAGACGACACCCCGAGACCCAGCTGGGAATCCAGCGAGCCCAGACCAGCACTACCACGACCTGTCCTACGAGCCCACATCCCTTGTCCAAATGCCGCTCCGGGGACAACGAGGACAGGCTGAACCCCACCCACACCCAGAAAATCCGCAGGGGGTATGCGCGACTACCTCGACTACGACCACGGATGCGGGGGGACAAGATGAAGAACGACAACCCCTCCACCACCAGAAGCAGGAGCCCAACCATACGAGGGGGCAGACACGAGCAAAGGGGGCACCCTGGCACGCCAAGCTCTATCAGACGCGCGAGAAGCCAGCCATCCGCATTATTGGCATCCATCTCTTCAGAGACCCAAGCAGCGGCAGAGTACGCGCCCAACGCGGAGGACCTTGGACGCCAAGAACGAGCAGACTACGCTGCGGAGGCCCTGACACTTATCACCGGAAGCGATGGGGCTAGCGAACGATGTGGGGGTGCCGGGAGTCGTCGACTACCTCGCCGCCGCGGCCACGAGGCTATCGCAGCTTCACGTTCCCCGGACAAGGGGGACAGAAAGGGGGGGAAGACCGCTGCCGACCCCAAATGCCTTTGAAATAGCGGCCCTGACCGTTGGCGTTATGGAGGAGAGCAGCCAAGGAGGGGATTCGCCCTCTATGGCTGAACTGCTGGAGCTCTTGGAGCTGGTGCAAGCAGGCATGGCACTCCTCACCCGGGGGAGACACAGCTATAATTGGCAAGTGACGCATTGGGCCACCGACGCCGCGGAGGAGGCACTGGCGCGACTTACCGCCGCAACGGCAACGGACCCCACTGGGGGGAGCTGGCAGAAGCAGAACCACAAGTGGAGAACATGTTGCCGCGCCTGCGCAATTTGCTGGACGAAGCGGCGACGGGAGTCGGGGTGCTCGTGGGGATCTACCCGCACAGAGGAGATGCCGAGAACATCCACCCAGCGGACGTGATAGCACAGCAGGGCACAGCCTGACGCACCTTCTCAGCTTCATGACCGTGACCGCGAACCACCTGATGCCGTGCACGTCTATAAAGCCCAGCGAGCCCTCCGGCGACTTTAGCCCTTCTTGGAGGGGGGGATGCGAACACTGGGGGATCAAGCTCTCGCCCACCTGGGGGAGTGGATCCGAGCCCACTGGGGGGAGGAAGTGCAATTGCTCAGCAGTGAAGAAGAAGCTGGGGGTAGCGACCCCGGAACCAACGCAACAGCCACCGAACAAGCGCCTCGGCCGGTCCGAGTCAGGGACGCAGAAGAGCCAGGGGACACCCGCGAAACGGGGCTGAGCATGGATGACGACGCCATGGCCACCATGCCGGACGGGGACAGCGGAGCAGCGAGCTCAACGACGCCCTTTACACGACCCGAGGGGCCTGATGCTGAGCCTCGAAAAGGAGGCGCCGATCCTTCACCAGCCCGAGCTCCCTGGACAACGACGACTAACTTAGCGTAGTCCGTTTGACGGGGGGTTTGGGGGATGCTCAGTTCGGCGTTCGTGTCGCAGTCGGGGAGCGAAAGCTGGAGCTATTTGTAGACGATTTCGCCGAAGACAGGGGCAGGCAGCAAACTCTAGTGGTCTAGAACCATGGTTGTGTTCACTGAACTTGCCTTGATCGTGGGGTCTCAGTTCGCTTTTGCTTGCTTAGGGCCCCGAGAGCAGTCGCAAGACGGTAGAGGTTTCAAGGGGGTGGGAAGGTGGAAGGCAATGCTGCGCAAGGTTTCTATTCGGTGTCAGGTCGGGAGGCAGGTAAGGTGGGGGTGTCCCTAGTACAAGCTTCAACCGGAGGGCGTACCCGCCCCACCGCAGAGCTCCTGCTGCTTGCACTGTGATCTATGGTTGTCATGCTTGTCTTTGTTACCAAGCGGCAGCGAGCCTAGACAGCGGGGGAGCTCCCTTGGTCAGGAGAGGGGGTGCAACAATCTTTCTCCCCGAGTTCACACGGGAATGGTATATGAGTTGATGTAGGGGGAGAACAGCACCGGCCTCAGTTTCTTAGTTCGGAATGCCGGCGGATGACCTCAGTGATACCTCCGGGGCTTGCTACAGTGGTCATGGGCTTAGCAGGTGTGTTCTTTGGGGGGGTCGGTTCAAGGTGCACTCAGGGGAACGTGGCATTCAACCCCAAAGGGGGCTCTCCGACGAACAGACGCGAGCCAAGGGGGTAGGCCTCCGGGCCAGGGCTGCTACGGGAGCTCATACCCCAAGCAAGCAAGCAAGCAAGGGAGAGAGAGAGAGAGACGACCTGCTAGGGCCCTGCTTTCCAGCCGGGGGATATGAAACAGTATTCTTCGGAAGACCAAGAACACGGCTGCGCGCATGGCGTGGAGGGGTGCGCTCACGGGTGTGCTCCTTCGAAGCCGTTAGCAAGCAAGCAAGCAAGAGAGCGAGAGAGCGCCCTGCTGTCTGAAAGAAGAGCCCTGCCAGCATGTCGTAATGAGCCGGTGCAGAATCCACAATCTGGATGCGACTTACCACCGCGTGGGCTGCGTGGGCACCGGTGCAGAGTTGTGTCGTGCCGCCAAGCCCAGTGCAAAGGGTAACGTGCGCTTCGATCCTTGACCCAAACTGTCGGGAAAAAGGAGCATGTTGCGTGTCTTGGGATGATGCCATCATCAGATGGAGGCAGTGCAAGCCGACATGTCGTAACTACCGCAATCGAGTGAGCAATTCCGGAAACCGATGTTAGGAAGGGATCAAGAATTTGTGAGTGACTGGCGATTTGGTGTTTCGTTGTTGACGCGCTGAGACTGGCTGAGGTGATGCACGGATTTGAGATGGTCCTAGGTGCATTAACGACAGCAGAGTGTCGAACAGAGCAGTTCGCACTTTGAAAGTTCGTGCCGGGTGTCTGAACCGTGGAATGTCTTCAGGTTCCTGCATGTCAGTAGGGGTGATTCTTCGACAGAGTCTTATTGTTGAACAGGCTTGCAGGCCAGAGCTGTGCAATTCAAAGTTTTACAACTAGGCTGTACTCAGGCCACTAGGCCCGCGGTGTCTCACTGACCGTTCTTGGATTGCTACAGTGACGAGTGCAATCATGCGACCACGAAACCAAGGGACGCGATGGGCGCCAGTATGAACCTGCTGTGGTGTCTTGGTGGCCGTCAGTTGCAGAGACATTAGCTACGAAGATGTTGTTGCTTTATGCTGCCATCAGCAGCTTCCTTTCGGCAGCATGATGGCAAGCTTCTGGGAGCTGGGGCTGGCGTGCTCATTTGGGTCTCGGGTCGTTGGATCCTTGCAGGACAGGCATGCTCCGGCAAGCGCCGAAAGACATAGGAAGCATGCCTAGCCGAGCATCCTGGCTCTTGTAGTTAGTCTGCTCACATGTGACATGTCTCATTGCTCCAGCCCTAGTCTTCGAACCTGGCAGACGACATGGTTTTGCGACAACGACCGAAGTTGTGAGCTGCAGAGCTAAGGACCCTGTCAGCACTGTCCGGCTATGCCGAGCAGCTCAACCGAGTCTTGGAACAATTCAGAGCGTTGGGATGCTTCTTGCCAGCTGAGCGTTTTGCGTGATTTCTTACGAAGTCGATTCTTCCGGGGTTGTGAGTTGCAATTTTACATGCAATCCAGTTGTCTTGCCGCGCATAGTCCCGTCCTAGAAGGCCGACTTGCCTGAACCCAGAGCCTAACATGCCAAGCCGAAACGCGGAAGTTCGAACATCATTGTACAACTGATTTCTGACCATCGGGAACGTTGCACCGATGGGAACAGCACTGCGTGTACAGTTTCTGCTGTAGCAGGTGTGCCAACTTGTACCACCACGTCAACTGAACTCTGAACCACTAAACGGGCGTTGAACCGGAAAGTCAACGGGCTCTGAACCATGCGGATTGTGCGTTGCTTGACACGAAAGTGGTGATAAATCCATTGGCCAAGGTACAGACACAACGGTGCGTGCTTTGCAGGCCTTGTTTTCGCGGTAAAGCTCAATGGTTTCAGTGCAATGCTATGCAATTTGGCCCTGCGCATCTGCGGGATGGATGGGTAAGTTGGGTAGATCAGGACAGTGGCATTGACCGGTATACCTGATAGACTCAGGCCCTGCGATTGCACCGAATGCACCACGAGGCCACAAGCGTCAGTTTGAGTTCGGGACTTGTGCTGTTGCATTGTGCGGGGAATCGAGAACCGCGACTGGCGACCGTCATTTTGTGCTGTTGGCAGTTGTCCTTGCAGGGATGTTTTCAAGCAGAAGTCTCGTCGGGGCGCAAGGTTTGCAGATGCTGTGGCGGCCTGCTGCGCAATCTTCTATCAGCTCCGCTGAGTTCCTCAGCCCAAGCAGGGCAGAGAGCTTGTGAAATTCGAAGCATGCAAGCACATACGATGATTGCTGAAACTTGCTCCCTGCAACCACCACTAGACCACATGTCTCGTGATGTTCAGGAGAACCGAAGGGATGTCTAGAGCAGCTACTCTTCACCGGCCGTTCCTGAAGTTAGCCCGAGCCGAGATCAGCAAGCTGCGGCCACATGTGTTGATGGAGGCGGTCTGAGGCGCGGCCTTCATCCACAGATGTCCCTGGGAGTGTGTTGCTACTTGATTGTCGAGAACTAGTGCTATCCAAGAAAATTCCAGATCAGCGCAGGCCCTTCTTTGTTGCAGGCTTGATCAGTTTTGGGTCGTAGGGTTGCGGAAGGGTGCTGTATTCTCTCGTGTCGGGGCCCTTGTATCCGTTGGCGCAGCGGGACGTTGGCGGTTCGGTCTACTGATACTGCCCACTGGCCATTGATGGTCATTTTCCGGAGTTGCCTGGATTTGGCCTTTTTGCGTTCTCGATGATCGTGTTGTGTTGGGCACTACTAGTATTCCAAATTGCAGTTTACAGGCTCATGTTCATATGCTGCCCCCCCACTAACAGCTAAATAAAGGTTCTGTATAAATCACACAGACAGAAACAAGCACCAGGATTTGAAACGCCCAGTGAATTAAATCTATAGCAACCTTTAGCACCAGAATAAACACAATCAGAATCATGAGCACAAAGTCTAGTACCAGAGAAAGCACAATCATGAGCACAAAGTGTAGCGCCAGAGAAAGCACAATCATGAGCAGCACAAAGTTTAGCACCTATCGAGCAAAATTTGGCAAACTGTGGAAGTGACCTTGCTGATGGGGCGGCATTGTTTTCCTGGTGTGGTGGCCCCTATCGGGAGAAACGATCTGAGGGTCGCATTGTTCGGCAAACAAAGCGCACAGTGCCCCATTAGCTTGCCGCAACACATGAGTCTTCACATGTCGCCCGCCCAAGTAGCAGTCACCACAAACAGAAGCACAACAAAAAGCACCGGCAAAAAGGCAATTTGCTGGTGCTAAATTTTATGCACCTGATTGTGCTTTCTTGTGCTAAATTGTGTACTCGTGATTGTGCTTTTTCTGGTGCTAAACTTTGTGCTTATGATTGTGCTTTTTCCGGAAACGGACCTGTGTCTTTCGCGGGAGCGGAACATGTTGGACGTTGAGCAGGTTGCTGCTGACTACTCTTTGGCACCACTGCCTTCCCGATGAGGCGCAAGTTCTTATGATGCATTCCTTCTCTTCGGCCGCCGGTTGCAGGGAGCTGATCAGCGTTAAGCCATGCCCTGCGGCCCTGGGCAAGCCATTACTTTCGTTTGAAGGCAGCAGCCATTGGCAGAGCGACCGGTCGGTGCCTTGGAGTGGGCGCATTTCGGCTCTGCGACAGGGCTGCATGATGTAGACTATGTGCAATAGCTGCAGAAGATGTAGACCATGGCGTATTTGATGGTACATAATGAATAGTAGGCCGCAGTGTATAACATGTTTCCTAATTATCGGTCTGGCAGGTTAGGAATTAGGAGATCAGTTTTCGCGATCGGAAGAAAAGCCGTGATGTTTTTTAACCGTGGGCGTTTTGGCGATCGGCCGATCGGCCCGGATTTTCGATCGTCGGCGTGGGAGCAGGATAGATCCTCATCCAGCGATGTCGTTCCTTCCTACAGGTCCCTACCACGGCTCAGATGCGTCGCAGATCCCCCAGTTCGGGCTGCCCAGGAGGCTGCCTCCTGCAGACTCTGGAGGAGCCGATCGAAGTCTACTCGGACTCCCCTGATCGAAGACTTTTAGCTTTCCGCGGTGCTCTTGTTTGTGCCCTTTGGGGGGATCTTTTCTGATGATGTCGTTCGGATGAATGCGGAGCGATCGCCTGCTATCTGGCGCGCCCTCCGGTGATCGGAGCATCCGTGCGGAATGCTGAAGATCTGAGATGCTCGAGTTTTGATCTGTGCCCGACTTCTACGTTGCGGTCGCACAAAAGGTCTGTGGCGATCGTTGGCTGTTCAGTGAGTGTCGAGCGGTGTAGATCGTGCAAACTGAATTATAACGAATTATAAATGTGGGTATATAATATGTTTACGAGAAATGCTTGCTCTATATGTATTGTTTATAGCAGATGCTGTAATAGATAGTATAGACCATGTAAGACATTATATGCCATGTATAACTTTATGACATATACTAGATAGAATTATGGTCTAAACTATATGCGGAATACTTTGCAACATGTTTTGTTTTTGTAAATAATACATACTATGTGACAACAGCGAATCACCTATAATATGTGCTTCTGCCCAGTTGCTGCGAACAGAGCCAGCCTTCAATCCTTGGACGGGCTGGATGCGGAGTATGATCCAGGACCTGCATGTTGTTTATGGTATACGGAAGGCTTCCCATGTATACAGGTTTTTATCACTGTTGTTTATCTGAGGGAGCAATCCTATGAAGCCAATATTGGCAATACCGACCGCTGTGGCTGCCTGGGGACTACAGTATTAAACACGAGACCTCCAGGCATAGTTTCATTTAGTTTTATCATGAGCGTATGTCAGGCTGCCAGTGTTGCCGGTGTAGGAGAGCATGTTCAGTTTGGGTTGGAATCGCTGACTTCTCTTGGCAGGCGCAGAGGCTGAACTCGCAGATCGCAAGCGGAGATTGTCGCAGTTACGCCGCAGGTCCCAGACAGGCTCGGGCCGAATGCTTTGGAGGATGAGGTCACAGACGCCTTCTTGTGGCAGCTGTACAGTCTTGCAAGGTCATGGTGGCGATGGTCCGGCCAAACGGGCATCTGTTGCCAGTGTTGGCTCGGCTGGCCACGGCAACAGGCCAGATCTTGTCACAGCTGCAACAGATTGCTACCCGTGGCCTCAGAAAAATCGGTAGGGTGCGACGTCCAGGGGCTAGTCGCACTTCCGTTGACCAAGATGCACAGCGGACTTTGCAGGAGAGGATCGAGACGCAGCAGCATAGGACGCAGCACTTTGGCAAGTGCGGCAAGTGCCAACCTTTCCCTTCACCATTGCACATCATCGCAGGATCAGAAGCCGATCTACGAAATACGCATTTCGAGGCGAGCCGTCCTTGAAGCGTGGAGGTACCGTAGCAGCTCGGGTCTGTTGCTGAATGAAAGCGCTTGTCCAGACCGGCGATGAAGACAACTCTGACAGCATGGCCGTTGCCGACGCTCAGCGATCAGTATTGTGCATCTTCGGGTCTGGTACATCCCTCTGCCAAAGTACAATGTCCAGTGCCGCATCAGCCATGCTAGCGTTGCTTTGTAAAGACGAGGAGCAGATACTGGCTGCTTTGAGAAACCTGTCGGCTTTCAGAGCCTTGGCATCGACTCTTTAAGTGTGTGTTCGAAGACGCGGGTGACGACGATAGTCTCTTGCATGTCTCGTGTGTGTGAAGTTCCTTAGGACCTAGGACCGTCGGTGAGCTGAATGAATGGACAGGGTGCGTAACAACAGCTCGTCAGCTCGTCATCATTACCTGCCATTCGCCATCGACAAAGGCCACGTCGCCGCAGAGTTGGCTGAAGAGGTCTTCGTGAACGAGGACTCTGATGAGCACAATGCCAGCAAGCTTGCAATTGGCAAGGTTTCAGCAGACCGCTTCTTCGTGCGAACGTCGCGTGTACTGTTTTGCGACCAGCTACCACGCGCACAGTTGAAGCCCGCAGGGCCTGCAACCGTGCAGAGTGGCTTCATTTGGCCCGGGCAGGAGTGGGACCAGTTGAGGACTGTTGTGGAGGTATACTCCAGAAGCGCAGCTCTGCAAAAATTAGACTGAGGCCTGCTATTGACTGCTGCCTCCCGGCCAGGTAGTGGACGATAGCATGCTGATACGTGCTGTGCGGTAGCATCACGATTGAAAGGACTGTATTCAGCTTTGCACTAGCAAAGCCACACAAATCAACCTCGACCTTTGCAAACTTCGTTGCGACCATGCGAGCTAGAAGGATGCACCACCTTTTGTGACAGGTCATGGTTCAGCAGCCTGCCTGAACTTACCGGCACGTCGCCTCGAGAAGCACATTTGGAATCTGCCGACACTCCCGTGCTTGATCAGTCGCACAGTGTCGAATTTCCCGTCGACGTCTGTTGCTGCTGCGCAACATGTTTCTAGAGCAGTAGTTATGTCTACCTCATGTCTCACGAGGCCAAGTTGAAACCACGTTTGCAGGCTTCACCGCACACCTCTGAAGCCGTGAGCCTGCGCGGAAGCAAGTATCATGATGTGCTCAGGTTTCAGGGCTTCGACTTGATTGGGCGACTGGTCAATGCCAAGAGGGTATCGCGACTCAAAGAGCAACGCACCATCATGTACTAACCTCGCAGGCAGATTCGCACGCCACATCTTCAGAAATCTGTCAAGATGAAGGTGAGTCCTGTAACTCTCGTACTGGAAGCCTTGTTGCCCTTTGGTAGCGCCTCGTCACAGTTGTTCGCAGCTCGCTGAGGACTTGCGCAGGGTGTTCCGGCGCATCTCAGTGCCCCGTCAGAAAAGCAGGCAACCTCAAGGTCACGCACACAAAAAAACACACACACACAAATGCATTCGCCTGCCTTTCCCCAAGACAGGCTAGGGCTAGGAATGAGAACGAACCTTACAACTGCTCATGTTCAATCGATTTCCTGTGCGTGTCTTCTCAGGACCACGTCTTGCTCATGTCCCAGCACCACAAAACGACGCCTGTGGCTGATGCAGCGGACCTGCTGCTGGAGGCACTGAATTGAGGCCAGCGCTGGCCGCTGAAGCCGTCCAGCCGTCCGGGCGCTTGCGCAGACCACCGAGAGGCAAGAAAGCCTTTGAGGCTGGAGGCTCCCAGGCAGCTGATGCACCTAATTCGCAAAACACGTGGTAGTTATCATGGACCCTATGGCCAGCTTCACAGATCCTGGGTGTGTTATGAGGTCAAGATCACACTACTAGCCCAGATTAGATTAGACTCGTGCAACATCGATGAAATGGTCTTCATACGTACCTGGACGACACTACTGTAGGTTAACTTTAAGGCCGCAGGACAGGGTGCTGTCTCGGTGTGTATTCCCTACGAAACTCAACCTTCCCCATGCCAAGCGCACAAGCCCTTTGCTGGCCACGTCCATGATGTAGGCTCGCAAAAATGCAGGGCAAGAGGTATCTGCAATGATCCATTGATATCCACTGGATTGCCCCCAGAAAACTTCAATTATGATGTCATGATGGCATATCTGGAAGACCCATAGGCCATAGGCTGGCAGAACGTCGATGCATCCAAAGCCCAGAGGCCTCTTGGCTGGTCACCCGAGAAAACACCTTGCCCATGGAGAAAGTGCTTGCAGATTCCATGCTTGGCCCATGGCCCCTCTCAAAGGGAAGGGCCCGAATTCGAAATATGCACTGTGTGTGCAACACTTCCAGGCTTGTCCCAGTGGCTCCAAGGAATAATTGCTGCTTCTGTTTGCGTATCAAGTGGTGGTGGCCCGAGGCGTGTTTAACCTGCTGTGACAGCCGCCAAGCATCACTTCAACATACGAAGCTGTTCTGTTCAGCTGATCGCCCCTCTTCGTGCGATCTTCAGAGTCACTGTTGCACGTGCCAGCGTCCGCTTGAGAACTTCGCTTCCGTAGCGTTATAACATTTGTGACGAAGCATGCTGAAGCTGACGTGCCGGTGATGGTGGCGGCTGCGCCGTGCTCTCTCTGCAACTCCAAAGACATCGACCCACAACAACTCGCGAGGTGCTGCCTTGGGGCCAAGCGATGTCGACAGTGAAAGTTGGAACCCCTTGAGTAGTCGGTGGTTATTGCAATTGAGACGATGTGGATGTAGCTGCTGACGGCCTCGTGTGTTGGCAGGCTGGCACAGGTCCGAAGCTCAACGATCAGTCTTCGGTTTAGCTTTCCTGATCTGTGTAGACTCGTGTTGAACAGAATTGGCCTGAGCTGTCATGCGATGCTGAGGAGCCGAGACTCACTACCAAGACTATCACCGACTTGGGCCGAGCCCAGGAGACTTCACTTGTTCTTCGCCTGCCCCTGGGCTAGAAAGGGATACTAGCACTGTCGCATGCAGAGCAGCTCTGTTAGAGTTAGAGATGTGCAAGAGTCACTGTCACGTCGTCCAATAAGGCTGGCGCAGCTGCAACAGGTTCGCGGTACCTCGACTTCATACGCAAACTTTCTCGCATGGATAGGATGCAGTAATGCTGCCAGAGCAAAAGGTGCGTTGCTGCACATGCTTTCCACTTGAGCAGCTGCGGTCCAAAAAGTGCACAAGATGCGCCGATCGTTTCCAGAGACGCTCCTGCTTGAACTGCGGGAATGGGAAGGTTTTTTCAGGTCTATCTCTTGGTGCTTTTGCCGTGCAGAACAAGATCTGGCTTGCCGATCTGTGGACCATTGTTTGAGCTGCTCTCAAGGTGAGGTGAATATTTTCCACTACAATGCGGCTCTCAACGACTCTTGGATGGCAGTTGGCCAAAATGGTCCTTGACTGGTTTCCATCAGAGTTGCGTGGGCGATCTCAGACCGTGCTGGGAAGGCCTTGGCTACTGGAAATTCCTGGCCGCGAGCGCTCAGCACATTGTTCCTCCTCTGTCGCAGGCTGACAAAGAGAAGCATTCCTCTCAAAGCCGCGGTGGTACAGTGTCATGTTCTGCCAGGCAGCTGGCAGACAAGACATCTTTCAGTGCAACTATCACCGCCTGTTCTTCGGAAAGGCGAAAGCCAGGGAGTGTGCTGTGCATGATATGTAGCAAAGATGCCGCATCAGCACACCTGCACCTGGAGGTGGCCAATGGCTTTCTCATTAATCAGCAGACATTCCTTGGCTTGTTTGGACCCGCTCCAGAATTCAGAGAGATGAAGCGTGCAAGCAGATGAGCCTTTGGAACTCACACCGCATTGGTCGTGAAGTCGTTGAAGGAGTGTGACATCGTAGCTGTGGGTGCAGCTGCTGCATGCCTTGCACCCAGTTGTAATGCGCTGCGACTCTGAGGAGTAGTTAGATGATTCAAGGCATGTCAAGTTGGCAGCTCAGGTGGGGTACCGTGGCCCAGAGCCTCGCGGCTGCTGGCCAGCCTGCAGCTCAAGCAGGCAATTAGACGATTTGACGTGTTGCTTTCGTCTTCTTTGTGATTTGTTGTTGCCGTCTTGTGAACGGAGGTGCAAGTGAATGTGGTGGCCTGCAGTGCGCTGATGGCCTCCTGCGAGCAGTCTGGTGCTTGGGCGAGGGCGCCGCATGCCTGCATGAAACGACCGATTATGTGGGTGGGCAATTACATTGACCATGCAGGCTGCCTGCTTTCGAGTCTCAAAGTCAGGATACACTGCTTTCGCGACATGCAGCTCATCGGAGTACAGCCGAACGTGCACTGCCGAGTATTCTGCTACGGTGTTGCCGTTGTTCAAAACCCGTGGCAGAGGCTAGAGCTCGCATATAGATTGGTGGGCATCCTGCTGTATCGCTCGAACAAACCTCACAGAACGCTGTGGGCTTGAGCCCGCGAGAATCAGCCCATGAGTGTGATTCAGAACTCTTCTGGAGAGGGTGCTGTGATGGGTGCCAGGTGGTGACATATTCAACAACCACCAGCTCCTACAACACCGCCTTCCTTTGGCGTGCAGCGGCACAAATGGTAGGCAACCTGGCACCAAGTCAATGCGCCTAGCAGGCCGTGCAGGCCTTTCCGCACAGGTTCTCGATAAGGCTGCTGGCATGGCGAGATGTACAAGCAGTCGCTATCGGTGCTTTCCCCCGTCTGCAGTGCTATGACAGGACCATGAGGACCCATAAAGCCACACTTTTGAAGCAGCGAGGCGCAGCAGCAGTTCTGTCCGAGGTACTTTCAGTGATCGAGAAGTTCGTGTCGGAGCAGGACTTTGCACATGGGAAGTGTGCGCTTAGGTGGCTTCCTGGCTCTTTGCAAGCGCTTGCGCATTTCTTCGTGCGTAGGAGGTTCTCGAACGGTGGTTTGCAACTCTGCTCTTGGTGCACTGTCCAAGAGTCGGCAATGGCTGGAGGCCACAAGCATGCCTAAGTATGCTTCGTGGCTCTCTGCAGCATCTCTTAAAGGTAGAGCTCGCCGAGACTATTCTCCTCCTGCCTTTATCTGGTTGTTACTTACTTGTTGTTGGTCGTTCTTGAATACGAAGGAGCATGGTTCTCCCTGGGACTTGCCCCCTTGGTTTTTCTTCAGTTCAGACGAAGTCCCTGCGGTGCCACTTGTATCGGCTGGGCGGGTGGGAAAAGAATTGCATGTCTTGGCATTGATGCCAGGTCTTCAACGTACTGCATGACATGAGGCTTTGCACGCTACAGACAAGCCGAAACCTGGCCGCAGAGATGCCTGATCACGGCAGATCGGGTTGATGGCTAACAAGAGATGCCTTTCATCTCTCACCCTGGCAAGTTGGCCTTCAAGGAGAACCGCAACAAGACCTGTAGCAGGCTGCGGGATGATCGCCAGCGCTTCTATTCATGTTTCAGCTAAGGAGTGAGCTGTAGCTTGGCGGTAGAATGCTGCCAGGCGCCTTTCGCTTCCTGCGTTATGGGTGCCGAAAACTGCCGTTGTAGAAGACGCGGCCAGCACTGATCTCGCTCGTACTGTAGGCCAAGCAGTGGCGGAAGGGTGTCGGCATTCTGGAGCACATGCGCCTGAACAACATTCTTCTGAATGAAGTGAGTGCCACAGCTGCATTGGTACATGGCGAGTTACATGATTGGTATCACCGGCTTAAGCTTGGAGCAGCCTGTGGATGTCTGCACGGTTCACGTTCGAATTCCTGAGGGAAAAGACGCTAAACTCAAGGCCTGAACATGAGAGTCGCCAGTACGCCGCATGCACAGGTGAAATGGCGGCGGCAGTAACACACATGGTGGCTGGAATGGAATCAGAGTCAATCAAGCACAAGGGCGCTTTCGAACTTGCGAGCAGAACAGAGCCAAGCCACGCTGGATCACGCTTCCAGTGCCAAGCACGGTAAAGCAACTAGAGACAGTCATAGCGCCAGCGCCATGGTGTCGATGTCCGCGAAGAATCCTCATGTCTGCCTCGCGGCGGTCATCCTCTGGAACAACTGGGTGGAGGCGTTGGGATGATGGTAGTTGTGATTCTCTCTAGCTACTCGTAGCGACGGTCAACTCAAACCTTCCAAAGCTGGGGCGAAACGCACTGCACTGCTTCGAATCTTCCAGCGAGGCGGTCGACCAAAGCGAATTCTGCCCACGATGGGCTGCAGCTGGCGAGTGCGCTCGCAATGCCGATTACATGCTTAAGGCACTGATGCGGTCATATGGGCGAGTCCGTGAAGTCTAGGTATCTCTGCAACCAAAGCTTGCATTGCACAGGTGGGTCCGTGTGTACGAGAGTTTGCACAGGCTTGTCCAGCAAGCTGCTCATCGACAGGCACCGCATCTCAGAGACTTGCCGTGCACTCATCGTAGCAACCTCAGCAAGAGGCAGTGTCCTTGAACATGCTGCCACTTGGCATCACTACAGCCCTGCCTTCTCAATGCCACCTGAGTCCATGAGGAATTGTGCAGCCTGTCAGCCTGTCCCTTGCTGAAGCGGGCCAAGGACAAGCAGCCAGTCAGTTTGTGCCCAGTGGGCCGGTGGCGGCGAATGCCAGAAGAATCCGACTTTCATGCTTAAGGAGCCGAATGCGAGAATGTGTGCGTGTGTGTGTGTGCGTGCGCGCGCATGTGCGTGGGAAGCACAGTTTTTTCATGGAAGTAGCGCAGATAGCAAATCATCTCAGAATGTTGGTGCCATAGTCATCTCCAAGAGCAGTCACAGTTGACAATGACAAGGTTAGTTTTGTAGTACGTCTACTAAGAGCAGGAAGCTTGAACATGCTTGTCTTTGCTATACTGGCAGCAAGGACAGCTGCAGCAACCAAAGCAACGACCATAGCAAGACCAATAGGCATCACAGAGCGAAGTCCTCTTGTTAGTGGTCAGAATCTGAACAACATATTCCTGCTGTTGCTAGTGTTGCTTCTATATGCTTCTTTACGATCTTTACCGGTTGAACTATTGCTGCTACTGCCGCCACCACCACCACAGCAACAACGACCGCCACTACAACTACAACCACCACTACTACTACTGCTGCTGCTACTGCGACGACGACGACGACGACTACTACTACTACTACTACTACTCCGACGACTACTACCACTACTACAATTACTGCCACTACTACTACTACTACTACTACTACTACTACTACTGCACTACTACTACTACTACTACTACGACTACTACTACTACTACTACTACTACTACTACATGAACTTTCGCGGGACCACCGTCTGGGAGTACAGTAGTCTTACGATGTCTGATGCCATAAACAGAGTCAGCAGATATTCCCATGTGCTACATGCTGAGGCGCTTCGAGCTGTTTTGGGGTTAATGTTGGCTCTGGGGCTGTCAGGGTCAGAGCTTTTTAGCTTTTCCTCGTTTTTGGTCGTCGGAGAGCCTGGCATTTGCTCGTAGAGTTTGGCCCTTGCCCTGATAGACGTGCTTGAACTGCTATGTGAACAGAAGCACTCGTCTGCTTTTCCCCAAGAGGTGACCTTGAGATTTGGTGTTCTTTAGCCAATTACTTTAGTGTGTATGTGCACTGTGTGGGTCACCTCTTGTCTACCTCGTGACCGTCGTGGCCCCGCAGTGCTGACACAGTCG